TATCGCAGAGGTCAGTGGTTCGAATCCCGTACAGGCCTGATTTTTTTCAGGTCTGATTTTTGCTATTGCATAAATAGCGCTATCTACTGTGAAGGATCGTGCATCATACGTATTTAATACCCCAGTTCAAAATATATGTACTTCATATATTCATTGTATATGTCTGAATAGTAATGTTAAATATCTAAGCTTAGCTCTTCCGTTAAATGTACCTGTTTCTGTAATTGGTTTCTATCGGGTTCAATACTTGTAAAGTAGGATTTGATATTTCGTACATAATCACTATTATTATTGTGCAAGTGATCGTGAAAGTTGGTTTGCTCTTTGCATGGAGTTAAGAGTGCTTAGTAGAAGACTCGAATACTCTTGATGACTGTGATCTACTACAAAAATTTTCCAATATGACCAATGTACATGAACATAATGATGTTACAGTGTCATTAAAGGTAAAAATTCAGATCTCGTGATTGTAGTCGTGTTTTGTGTGAATGCTATGGCTTTGTAGTTTCAAATAAATTTTACGTGCGGTGAATTCCCAAGTAAGGCGCTCGCTACGAAGCCCGATTGAACGCTCCTCGTGTGTCTAGTTTTAGATTTTTTTAGATTTTCACCTTCAAATGCTTTCTGGAGAGGAGCCAAAGACTGTTAGAATAAAATGAAGAGAGAAAATGGAAAGATAAAGAACAAACACTAGTGGCTCACAAGAAGAGGCTCGAGGCTCGCAAAAAATGGCTCCGGCCCGCAGGCTCACACATTAGTTACTCTCATGTTGAATTGTGTCAATGTAAGACCCTTTTTGCCATTAAAAACTCAAAAAAAACCTTTGATGACCAACTTTTACCGCTTCAAAGTCGTCCAAAAATTGTCTGCCATTTCTGAAATCATGTTCCAGCCGAGCCCGCAATTGTACAGCAGAAAACATCATCATGACGTCAAAGGCTCAATAAACTTATGCTTTGCTTTGTCACAACTCTCTTTGTTCACTGCACAAAGAATCACACATATTACTTTTTTGAGAACTGTTTCGTTGTCAGTTGTGCCATGTCGACTTTGACTGACGATGAATTGTCCCAGAAAATCATGTGAAGCTTCTGTGGATAGTTTTGCGCCAAGAAACGATGAATTTTTGCCATGCGAATAAAGATAAACACAGAACAGCACGGACTCCCCATGTGGCTTTTGTGCTTGCATCACTTTATCGGCTTTGAACTGTATTTTTGCTTGTTGCAAGGGATTTTCCTTTTTTGTTAGAAATGTTCAGGTGATTAGTAAATTAGTTTTCGGCAATCGCTGATTGTGTATCCGAAGGCAGATATTGGGAGTTTGTGAAGCCATTTCCAAGCCATCAATGTGTTTGCCCCAATGCATTTGGTCAGTGATTTCATTAACCCTTTCCTACATGTTTTTTACTATTGGTGCTTTGAGAGGTTTAAAGTGAACTCTGTTGTCCAGTTGCACTTTGGCCTCTTTTGTTTTTTCTGTCTTATTCATGATGACTATTGTTGTGTTGCTTCGGTGAGTTTTAAAGCAGAGTTTGTTTCAACTCTTTTAGAGCCATGACCTCATTGCGTTACAAAGTATTTTTTGGCTTAGATGCAGTCTGCAAGCATTATGACAATTTTCCAAGTTGCTCTGAAGGGAGATAAAAGACTGAACTGGTGGCATTCAGTTTGATATGAAACAGAAGTGGTTGTTTGCTTTGTCCGTGAAAGGTGTAAGTAAAGTCTGTTTACGAGCCTAGTGGCCCATTAGGCCGGTGCTTAACTCCAGTTTCTGTTACATGAAGCAACTAGGAATATTTCTACTCCCCCTGGATGGGATGCTAGTCCATCGCAGGGTTACCCCCNAGAGGCACAGAGCCCTTCATGTCCCCAGAGGTAAATGTAGCTGTCATCTTAATTGCACTAGTGTATTATAATTATGATTAAAGAGGTTGGTTATTTCTTTGGTCATCATTATTTTCCTCACATTCTTTTAGTCAGCAACATATTAATTTGAATTATGGCTGGTATCATGATTAATTGTTGTTCACAAATTGACACGTTTCTCTCATTTTATTCCTACAGGTCTGTCGAAGTGAATTCCACACTTTTAGTGCAGATATTTGGAGTTGTATGTGCCTTTTATACCAAATGCTGACAGGACGTCCACCTTGGATGGATTCTTGTCATGGTTCACTAATCTATAAGGTACATTTTACCATTTTTTCTTATTATGTTGGTACACATAAATACCTACCACCATTTTGATCCAAGTGGATGTAGGACAGGTATCACGTGAACCTCAGAATGACCCGGCTTACCATTTCTGCAGCTCAGTGGAAGGGCAGCTTAGCTCAGAATCAAATGGTCTAAGATTGGATTCTTTAAGGGATTCAGAATTTTTTTCTTTGTCCCCCACTTGTGACTTGACATAAACCTCTTCAGTTTCCATAGACATTGTAGGGTTTGTTGTTTAACTACCTTTGCAATATGTATTTTATTTCACAGATTGGCACAGCTACTGAACCACCCTGTTCTCCTCCCTGCAGTCCAGAGGTTGAGGACCTTTTCAGCCAAGGCTTCATTCTAATGCCATCTCGTCGTAAGACTGCAAGGGAGCTGTTGAGACACCCAGCAATAATGGCAGGTATTGTAGCCTTGGTTTTGTCCACATTGATGATTACAATGTAATTTAGTGCCCTAGTCTAATCAAGTGCTCTCTCAAATAATTATGATTTTATAATATTGCATTGATAATATTTAAGCCGTCCTACAGTAAGTCAGTTAAACACTTCAAGGCTGTGCTTTAAGAAAAAGTGTAGTGAGCCCACTGCTCAGGAACTTTGAAATACAAGGTGCCCAGCATATGCTTTTATATGAAAAAAACTAAAATTCTTAAGTTGCCCAAGAGTGAAAGTAAGGTGCCAGGGGCCACTGGGCTCTGTTAGACCACAGCCCTGTTCATAACCCCATAACTGCCAAGATCTGATTGTTAATTCTCAACTCTAGCTGCTACACATTTTCTTGTTGATTAGGTCAAGGAATTTGTAGTTAGATCAAGATAACTTCTACCTGATAAGTTTGAGTATTCTCATTACCTGTCTGCAGGATAATGTAGAGATTTTATAGGGAGAAGTTACATGTTGATTTTTGCTGAGAGTTGAACAGTTAATAAACCTGAAGAGTCCATCTTGAGAAAGATACATGACAGTATAGGTGCAAGTGTGCCATATTTTCTTACAAATTTTTATACTGCACAAGTTTTGAGTTGGGATGTAACTTGAAGGCAGAACTTGTCTACCCATTGTACATTGTACATTTAAAAATGGCTTTGTCAGTCGTGTGTGATAAGCAGCTAATCCAGTCCCAAAACCTGAGCTAGATTTGCTACTTTGCTTTTCAACCTGGTATATTGGTTCTCTTTACTTTCCAGTAAAACTGGTTAATTGGAATCCAGGGTTGGATTGTTTGAAATGGGGTTAACATTAATCTTGGTTTAAAAGTCAACCTTGGCTCAAATTTCTCATGTAAAGGAGCATTGTATAGTTTATTCATTTTCTTAGTTTATGGACTTTTGTTAGGGTTAGGGTTCATTGTTAAGGATGTTTTGTTTCCTTTGTTTTATGTCAGCTGTGGATATTGCACTGACAATGGCACGTATAAGAGCTGAGGTTTTGTTGGGGTTTATCTCAATATGACTCAAAACTGGTGGGAAAAATTTCAAAAGGAAAACTCCTTTTAAGAGCTGTAAAACTAAATTCAACCTTTACCCAGACCCCGGATAAGATAAACAGTGTTAAAACCTGGCCCAGGAATTTTGTTGTTATGAGTCAAGATAGAATGTACATGTTTAGTACGTTTCCAAATAAAACATGTTATTTATGTTATTTTCAGCTCCAGATGCATCAGGTCTGCACCTTCCTTCTTGGGGGGACACAGAGGAATATTCGGATGGTGCTTGCAGCGTTACTTCCTCCTCAACTGGTGCATTGGAGTCCACTGCATCAGAAACTTCTGCTGACCAGCCGTTGTCTGATGGTCTTGCCTCAGATCTGGAGGATGACGATGATGGAAACTACAGTGACTGTCATGATGATGATAGTGATGATGATTCAGACAGTCATGGTGACACCACTGATTTGGAAGTTGACTTTCATTTGGATGCCTTAATCTCACTCCCCCAGGGAGCTTGGCAAGGTGCAGGCCTGTCTGCTGAGGAACAGTTTCAATCTCTTCAAAGTGGTGAGGACTTTTTGAAGATAATTCATAGTTAGATTGCACTGTTGATCAAAATGTGCAGGGAATACCACAAGTCTTGCTCTAATCTGAATGTGGCATTTCAGGGGAAATGTGACAAAGTTTCTCTTGGTGCGGTGAGGGAGGGAGGCCAGTGGAAAATGTGCACATACCCTCCTCCCTTTACCTCAACCTTAACGAGAAATGATAGTGTCATTTGACATTGATACAGGAAAAGAACAATGAACAGACAGGACAAACATGACATACAAGATGAGATGTTCTACCATAAGAATCTTATCTATAGCTACTTATAGATATGGTTAATAGAGAGGTCCCTCTAATTACTTGGAATTTGTGTGTGATCTTTTTGTTTACCAGATTTGGTGCTCAGTCTTTCTGCTGAGGATTTAGAAAGACATGTGCTGTCCAATGTCATTAATGGTGTGAGTGAGAATGATGTGAAGCATCTGAGAGATGACAATTTTGATGTCAGTCGATTCGGTTGGTATTTTTTTTTGTCTTATTTTCATTCCTAGTAGGGCTATAACAATTTAAGATTATGTTTTAGAGCTCTTCTTGGGGAGCATTAGCTATTGGTAATTCAATGATAAAGATTTTTTGAAAGGGATGATATAAAGTGTATTTTCTGAGTTAGGAAAGTTTCTTTGGACAAATGCTAATCTTTATAATGAGAATAGAGAAGGAAGTGTGCAGTGAGTGTAGTTAGGTGGAACCACTGATGGGTTTTAAAAAAACTTAGTTGTTTTGTCCAGGCTGCCTTAAATC